CTCTTAGTTATGCCGAAAGCTAAAAAACCTTTCCATTACTATAAACTCAGATTCTTTTTTTTCAGTCTAAAGTTGGGTGACTTCAGGATAATAAATGCAAACTGTATTGGTCACTATAAATGTACAATACAATGGAATTTGATCTCTGCACCCATGGATCAATATGGGGCTAACAGTCTCACCCACAGACCCAGAGTAGCAGGCTGTGGGGTTTAATCCAGGTTCTTGCAGCTTTCTCATAATATAAATTTAAGCCACAAATCACAACATTGTATGCATTCAAACACTCTCCCACTGATGGTGGCAATCTACATTCATTTAGGACAAACAGGTCAGCGGAAAGTTAGGCAATGGAGAATTTCATGTAAAGGAATTAATTATTGAAAACTCTAATACTAATAAATTATCCACACAAATTCCGATTTAATTACACCAGGACCAATTATATCATGATTATGAATATTATAGTCTAATGAGGTTGATCTTTTTTAGTAAAACATCATTATCATTGCCGGGAAGTATTATGTTAAGCTAATGATTAATCAGGATGGTCCAAAATATATTGATAAACTCTTTAAGATATAACACTACTGAAAAAAATATAATTTACATCCACTTTCTACCTGGAATGTTATAAGTTTATTGAGAGAAAGATATGTTGTTATTTACACCACAGAACATGTTGGTCTATTTCTTGGATTCAGATACGAACTGTACAGCAGAAGTACTACCATATCTATTGTAAAACTAATTTATTGTTTACAAAAAATATATCTATTACATTAGGTCTAAAGGATTGCAGCAATATCTCTAAATCGCCTCATTTTTTTAATCACACTTTTTCATTACGCAATATGTTTATTGGTATAGCACAGCTCAGTACAAAGACAATTCAAATGCATTTACATGAATTTAATTAAGCATAGTAGAATAAAATCAATAATAAATTAGTGATTGAGTCAGGTAGTAAAACAAACAAGAAAGTTGGGTATAGCCTGTGTAGTTGTAGTGAAGAGAGAAGAAAAGCTTGAGCTGTCAAGACTCAGAACAAGATGACCCAGTTTTTAAGGCAAACAGATTTCTCAAACTTTTATTTAGAAAATGGATCTGCAATGAACAGCAAGGGCGACTAAGGCAGGAATCTCTGCAGGGAAAGAACACAGGTTAGTGACCTGGCTGAGGATGATAATGAACGTGTGAGTCACTAACCTGATTATAAAGTTCAGTCCGCGTCCAGAGGACAAGCTTGATTCCAGCCGGTTGGCTGCTGTTAAGATGCGTCAAATGCTGCCCAGAGAGTCCCAGATGTTAAAGTCCCAGAGGACGGAGGACGGGCAGTTGATCATAACCAAGTAATTGAGATGAGCAATGTTAATACTAACGGCTAGGAAACAGGTACTCATGTTATTCCATTATTTAATTTATGTTAAAGCTGATTCTTTTTAAATGAGAACTAACTTTATTTTTGTAAATGGCATATATAATATCTTTTATGATGACCATTTGGTCAGGATTTGGTTCAGTTATGAAGTACCAGTGTACAAAAAAAATAGGACAGCTTTTACCATTCAAACCAGATAAACATTTTCTGAGCAATCTCAAAAATTTTATTTTAACTCTATAGAACCCCACTTCAACAAGTCCAAACAATTCTCTTTAAGCCGGGAATACACTGTGCAATATTTTCAATCGTTGCAGCTAAAGCTCAAACTGTACGACGAACCAGCAGGGTTTAAAAGTTCCCAGCTCACGATGTATGTTCTCACACTGTGTGACCTGATGCGATCTGATGCGTCTAAAAACTACACTTCTCGGACTCAACTCTCGGACTCAGTGCCGAGAGTTGGTGGTGGTCAGACTCGTCAATTTGGAAGAAGAAGAAAAACCTTATGATTCCTGATTGTGAGGTAGTCGTCAGAGGCTAATCGCCCGTCGTTACCCCCTGTATACTACACAATGGAGGACGTACAGTGAGGCTGAAACTTTGCCCGGTCGAAACAATTCTTGCACGACTAATCAGAATTAACCCGAAAAGGGCAAAAAAATCGTACAGTGTATGCCCGGCTTTACACACTAGCAAGCTATATTGATTACAGGAAGGATAATTATGTTAAGAACAGAACCCTGTGTGGTAATTCTAACATCTGATAACAAATTGTTTTTTTTTTTTTTTTTTTTTGTTTTTTTTTACTGAATAAGTATGTTTACAGGTCTGGTAAACATACTTATTCAGTAAATACAACAATAAGTACCAATATGTTCTTATTGGTGTATTTTTAAGTTGGAAAAATATGATTAATCTGGTATTAAATATGGATGACTTAGGGTTAAAAGAGGATAAATTAACTCACCCAGTAGATCACATGTAAAACAAGAGACAGCAAAACCCTGGACCTTTTTTATGCAAACCTTAAAGATGCTTACACCTCCGCCCCCTCCCCCCACTAGATCACAACCTTGTCTACCTGCACACCCACTAAAACCAGTTGTGAGAAGGGCAATAGTGCAGAAGAAGTCAGTGAAAGTTTGGTCAGATGGGGGGCTTTGAGAAACTGAGGGATTGCTTCAGAACCACAGACTGGAGCATGTTCCATAGCTTTCATGGTGATGGCATCAACAGCCTGACTGAATGTATAACTGTAGAGAGCACGGTGCCCACACAGAGGCTACAGGGCTTCCAAAACAACCACCCCTGGGTCACTCCTGAGCTGAAAGTCCTCCTGAACCAGAAAAAAGGCTTTCAACTCAGGAGACAGAGAAGAGCACATTCTTCTCCTTTGACTATTTAAGCTGATGTAATGAGTGAATTTCTCCACTGTGAGATCAATAAAGTCAATCAATTAATAAATCAAAAACTACTGAACTAATTAGATTATATTAAACAATAAAATTTATTCATAAATTGTTATTATGTGTCTTTTTGCTGTGAGGTTTGGCAGAAAAAAAAGTGGAAGCACAGATGCTTGACTCGAAGGGCTGGTTGTTTTTGGCAAGTGCTGCACTCTCCCACATGCATTTCTTGAGAGGAAGAGAAAGCAAATGTGTCCCTCCTTATGTTAGGTCAAACTACAAGACAGGCCAGATTTAGGTTGAAAAAATAATAAACACTGTGCCATATGAAGCTTCTGCCTCTGGGGCCTGATTTCATTGGTCTCTGGTGCTTTAACAATGAGGCTGTGACAGTCCAACTCAGCCAGGCAGTCATGTTCAAAAGCCTACTTTTTTTCCTTTCTTTCTTTTTTCCTCTCTCTCTGTGCCTGGAAACATAGGAGTAACACAGAGGATCAGTATCTGGCAAGTGTTTACACTTTTTCTCAGTTTTATAACCAAGAATAACACTATTTATATTGATTTTACATGGAATTATACAGTAATATATGTTTTAGATAAATACAACATGAACTACATTGCTAATATATTAAAATAATCTCAATTTGTTTTATGTGAATTGGTTCAATATAGTCCTGCGTTGGACTGGCAACCTGTCCAGGGTGTACCCCGCCTCTTGCCCAATGACTGCTGGAGATAGGCACCAGCACCCCTCGTGACCCCACTTGGGATAAGCGTGTTAGAAAATGGATGGATGGATGGATGGATGGATGGATGGATGGATGGATGGATGGATGGCTTCAATATAGTTATTTTTCTTTCTTTAAACGGCACCGACAACTTTCAGTTGGTAGATTGGCCCATTAGAATACTCTTTCAAGCTGCCATCTCTTTTTCTCCCGTTGCTGATGCTCAGTTGGTTTAAAACTGTAACCAAGCAGTCCATATTTTGGATCCAGTCCTCCCCTCATCATAGTAACAGATCATCATAAACCATGTATTAAGAAAATAATATTAGAGGAAAAATTGCTATAATATTCAGAAATTCTTTACGTAAATTAAATAGTAGTGGAGCCTTTGTCTGTGCATTGCATTTTCAAATAGTGTCACATCGTTGAGCCGAAGAACAAAGCGTAATTTTGACTACACAACACAACTGCATTTTTTAATCTGCTGTTAAGTATAAAAGGCAGATACATGTTAATGCAACAGATTTCATTAAGTTCTTTCATTTCGTTTTGGGATTAATAAAGTATTTTTAAACTGAAGTGAATTTATTTGGCCTTGAATATAGTTCTACATTTGTTACATATAGATATATTCCTGACTGAAGTTAAGTGGTGCATACCACAAAAGTATGGAACAAATAACTGAAGAAAAAATAAGATTTTACTATATGCTCTGGTTCAGTTCAGTTTATTGGGACTGTCAGGAGCGGGACACTTTTTTTGGGAATATAATATAATTCCAAAGAAATATTCTAGAATTGAAGATTCTCTTAAAGAATTCAAATAAAACCTTTAAGAAACTTTGGATTGATTTTTTCCCACTATTTTGTGTATATCGGGCTACTAAATGTCCTTAAAGAAAATGTGTTCAATGGTAATGTGTTATTGAATTATTTTGGGCTGTCTTGGTTTCTATTTGTGCTTTTGGCTCATGTTAGCTGTGTTGATCATTTACAATTTCTCACCATCTGGTTTTAAAACTACCCAAAATCATGTTTAAATGCATGAGGTGAAAGATGTTTCTCAAACCCCTTTACTAGTACTCACTGATCTCTGTATTTTTCTTTTAAATTTAAAGAAAGCTTCTAAAAACTTTCATAAAAATTCAGAATTGCTCTGTGCTGGAAAAGTGTGACGGTGATGGACAAAACTCTCATGTAACTTTTAATAGACCTGTAAGTATTTCAGTTGCAGCCAGTGACTTGTGGATACAGTATTTCTTTCAATCCCTGTACCTCTGCAGACAGGATGATCTTCTTAGCGCCATTACAGTCTGGGACACCATTCCGACCTCTCACTTTTGCCAATTTGCTCCTGGAAGACCTGAAGTCCTTGTCTTCATTAAAGGAGTTCCTCATTGATCAATCACTGTCAGAGGAGTTGCTCTGTAATTGCGCTTTAGCCTAATCATGACTGACGTCCCATCCCCCTGTTCTGTCACAGGTCTCAGGAGAGAGAATGTTCCATGACTTTCACACCTTCAACCTCAAGGTAGGCCTCCTTTTCTCCTGTCTGTGTGGTTTATCTTTAGATGTGTGTCATCATATAATGAATATTATGACTCATTTACTCATTAGTGGAGATGAGGATATGTAAATAAAATGGGAATTGACTTTTTGAATATTTTAGACCTCCAAAGGCTACAGTACAGTGGATTATTCCTCTCTTGTTCTTTTTATATTTTTTTACCAGTTCGTTCCCTTATTTTAAACCAAAACTACATAAATTTATACTGACATTTTAAACATAAGGATCCTTATTATGTAAATAAATGCTTATTAAGTTTAGATATTTCTTGGATTTCTTTTTATTTCAGTAAATCTTCAACTTCGTCTAACAACAATGCATGAGGAGTAAATGGAAGGGATATAAAATGTTATTTTTTTCAAGCATATATTTGCATTTAGCGCAGCTTTTACATTTGGCAGACAGACTTATTGCCTCTTTATTAAGCTAGTGGGATAATAATGATTTTATATAAAAGAAATGATTAACCCTTTAAAGTCAGGTGTATCATATTTGATAAATAAGTTTTTAAGAACTCTGCACCATTAGTGTGATATTTCTGTTTTTGAAAACCCTGACTTACACAATCAGATACATGCAGTGAAAAGAAAACATAAATGCGATTGTACAGAAAGGTGTAATGTATCAAAATTGATAGTTATATAATTTAACTTATAGACATTGTATGTTTTTAGTTTCATTTGTCAGAAAATTTTAGGATATCTCTAATTAAAAAAATTGTTTCTGTCAATTAGGCTACTTTATGGTCCAGGCTAGATCATATATATTATAAATTCACATTTTTTATGATTTCATATACTTGTATTCACCCTGGGCTGGAAATTTTTGGTGATTTAAGTAACCTAGAAAATTTTTTTTTTTTTTTTTTGGTAGTTTCACCAGGATCATGCAGATTGCATGTACCCGTTTGAATGACATTTTATAGACAATCTTAAACTTATATCAGGTAATAAAACCAGTGCCAATGATTTTGTTTATTACTGACAGCTGACAGGATGTTAAATGTAAAATTTGTTCTACCTTTATTGAGCAAAAAAGAAAAGTGAGTTGTGAGAAAATTACATTTCTCTTGTCATGACATTTCTTTCTGCATAGTAAAATAACAAACAGTGAATACTATGTGTTTAATTAACGTACATATATATATACACATATATATATACAGTATATATAGATAGATAGATAGTCAAGTGAACATTTTTAGGAGAATAGCACACAGCGATGTAAATGTAGAATGTCACCATTGCTGCATGTTAAAACTTGTTGAAACTGCAGAATGTTACATTGTTTAAAAGCCCATTTTCCCAGCCTTAAATGGATATTTCCACTTAAATATTAAACCCACCAGGCTGTGACTATTCAAAGAACCTGCTGTGATTTAGTAAAATGGTTCTGTCTATCACTTCTGCAGCTTAGATAGATGTCACATTGGTTTGATATCAACAATTAGTTTCGCCCCCTCTATGATCCAGCAGTTACTTATTCTGTGTGCATACTTTCTTCTGAATGCCCACACTATTTGTGCTCAGTCTATTGTTAAAATAAAATAAAAAATACAGTGAGGTTTGGCATCGTACACATTTCATCATTCTTTGACTCTTTTCTTCATTCTTTCTGATTTTTAAACTATACCTGCCTACTGAAACGCAACATGATTCACCTCCCTCAGTAGACGCAACGAATACAATCCAAAAAAGGAAATAGTTAATCCAGAACCTGCTGGTTTCATTTAATATCCCTTAATGTCATTCATGGGACATTTGTTCCACAATCATTCATAATGCTTTGTCTGAAGGAAGGACTGCATCGCAAATCCCAGTCATTTTGAAATCTGTCTGAACTGTCTGTCCTTAAAAAAAAAATCATAATTGTGCTGATGAACAGGTAATATACAAACAGCCTAGTGTGAAATTTGCTTCTGATTACACATTTAAACTAAATCAGTATTTTTTCACCTGCTGTTTTTGTTTAACTTTCTTAACAGTATAGAAATATTTAACTCTGGAGAACAAATCATCTTTGACCCCCAAATAAAGAAATAGAGACAGACAAACAGACAGACAGACAGACAGACAGACAGACAGACAGATAGATAGACACTCTGTTCTTCCGTGCTTGTCAAAACAGAGATGGTGGCATTTTAGTGGGACGCCATTGTGTGCCAAAGCTTTGGACTGCGCACTCGGGAGAAAAAAAAAAAAGTTTTTACATTTAAAATGCAATCAGCACAATCACCACAAGCAATCAGTTCCTCTTCATTTCACCTGATCGCTCCCCCCCTGTCCCACTAAAGAAGAGCTTGTTAAATGGAGCATCTTATCAGTCCTGGATTAAATTTTGACTTTGATTAACACATGTAATCTTAGTTTTGAATGTCACAGTTGAAGTTTTTGCAAAACAGATCTTTATTCTGGATATGCAGCAAGTTTTATTGTAAAATAGGAATTTCCTGTTTGAATATACAGTAACATACTAAAATTGCACAATTTAAAATGCTCTGCATTAATCTAAGTGACAACTGTCATGATCCATAGCTTTTATGATTTTGCCCTAGGTTATTTTCATGGTATCTAGTTTCTTAAATATACCATCTTGGTTTATTTCAGCTGGTTTAACTTTTTTGTTTGCTTCTCAGCAAAACGTTCCTATCATTTCAGATATAACAGAAATGTCTTACCTCTTCCCATTAGTATTTGCATGTTGCACACATCAGCTTGGTGACCAAGATAATGAGTGTTAAAACCTGTTTGCAATGCATAGTCACTAATAATTAGGATACGACAGGGAATTTCCTGTGTATTGATTGCACTAACCATAACAACTAAAAGGGGTTAAGCAGCATTACTTGACCGTACCCAATTCAGCCTTCCTGTTTTTTTGTTTGTTTGTTTGTTTTTGTTTTTGTGGATCTCACTCTCTTTCACCAAATAAAAGGCTGACTTAACAAATGTAAACATGCACAAAAATGTAGTTTCCCTAAAGAAATAATTGTATTTTAGTTTATTTTCCTCAGTAGGAAACCCTCAAAAAAAAGAGTGCTGTGGTCTACTAATTTCACAAATAATAAATAGAAGTTCCATTAACAGACGCTCACTCGACAGAGCTGATCAAGAGTATGCATCTGTGAAGTATGCATCTTGACACCTTCTATGTACATTTTCAATGCACTAAAACATGCAATACTGTATACAGAGTTTAGTAAAGACATAATTTTCCACACTGCCAAGTGAAGTAATGACACTAACTCTAAAACCACTGTTGGAGCTTTTTGTTCCATAGTGTTTATTAAGTTAAAGTTGCTGATTAACTGTGACAGGTCATCACCTTTAAAGTGTTATAGCTGAGGCTATCCAAAGTTCATTATGGAAGCAACATCAAGCTGAATTTTAATGTAACTTAAGCTTACGTCCTTTGGGAAAAGACAATCCAAGTGCACACAGGCTCCATCCACACATATTAAACTATGTCCCTGTTCACAAGGGATAAAGAGGCAAGAGCACCTCCTCAGAACATCCTCAGACACATCTGCGGCCATGTCCCTAATAACTAGGTTTGTTTCACTGTAGAAACAGGTCAACTGTGAATACCCTGCTTATTCTACTCCAAATCTTTCAAGATACTTATAAAGTGTAAGAATATATATATATATATATATATATATATATATATATATATATATATATATGTGTATAAAGCGGGTTATTTTGCCATACTTTTTCCATTTCTGAATTAGCTTTGTGAAGGACTGCACAGGAACAAATATGCTAAGTTGATCCACATTTAGACAGTGAATCGTTCAGATTGCACCGCTGTGGCTGCTTAATTAAATGCTCCACCGTGTAATGACTTTCCTTGAAAGGGAGTTAAATGTCTAAGTGCTGCAGAATCGCTGTGAAGCTGAAGAGAAATCAATGGGACACAGTGCAAGAAGTGAAGGTGTTTTCCGACTTGTTTTTAAGAGTGGATGTTTTATATTGACGTTGTCCCTCACCCAGCAAGCCAGAAGCAGATTCGTCTTGGTCCAGAGCATCGATCGGTGGCAGATAAACGCTGTTGTGTACTTTCTACAAACCCAGTTTCTTACTGTTCATGTAAGGCTGCATCTGCGTTTTGGTATGTAAAACCGCTGTCATAAGATAGATTGGACTTAACATACAGTAGTTTTTCAGACAAGAGTATCAACTGGAGACCCTACGATTAAGCCTAACCCTTCTGCTCATTCTCTAAATATTAAAATATTATTAAATCACATTCTTTATGCTATGCGAATCAGTTTAAGCCAAGTCACTCAGCCAATCAGTGCACATTTTTTAAGGCACGTGATCAGGCATATTTTAGAAAACTAAACAGGAAATTAAGAGTAGTACGCTTCCAAACGCCTACGGCTGTGGATCTCAGTGGTTCAAGAAATTAAGTTCCCAGCAGACAAACTGACCTCGGGTTGAATCCCCGGCAAGGATTATCAGCTCAACCTTAAAGCCATTGTCAAATATTTTATGAGGCTGTTTTTGCTACCACTATGTCCACTATGTTGAATAATTTCTCCTTGTATGTGGTGAATGTAGTAACCCACAGTGCAAAGAATAAATGTGCTTTAAACCAAAAACTCATAAAATACTAAAGGAAAACCGAGAAAATAGTTTTGATGATAAAACAAGGAAAACATTTACAAGAAGCTCTATGTTGCTTTTTATTTGGGTCTTTATCCAAATATCTACGGTAAAAGAAGGAAACATTTATTTTGGATATAATATAGGGATTCTTTTTGGTAGAAATGCATCAGCTCATTAGACCTAAAATAAATCAAATCCTGAAAGTTACATATTAGCATTTTATTTTAAACTTAGCTAAGAATGTTGTTCAACTATATATGGCTTATTAAGTCGTGAAGGCAGAGACAGCAGAGAACACAAATGATGTTGAGTGAGCAAGGAGGTCAAGCCTAGAAAGGACGGCTTCATGCA